CAGGTGGGTTTGATGACCCCTCACGCCCTGGAGAAGTTTATTTGGTGAAGGGGCACCCCAGGCCCACTCTGAGCAACCTCAAAGCCCCAGAGAGAGGAAAACTGAGATAACGTCTCTGATAACACTTACAGAGCTCACATGGGGGCATGACTGTGACCACCAGGCCAACACAGACTCCACTGCTCATGACACAGACCCCGTTTTAAGTGCTTTATGTGTGTTATCTTATTTCACTTTCCCAATAATCTTCTAAGAAAGGTGTTTTGCGAATGAGAAACCCGTCCCTGAAACATGTAATTGTTTTTCATCTGCACCAGATCCCTGGGCCAGCCACACCCAGAGTCCCCGGAAAAGAACCCTGTTTTCTACAGCATGGGTGTCTTGACTAAGCCCTTGCTCCAGCTCATTACTAAGTGATTTTCCAGCACCCTCGGGATACAAGGACAATGAGGGCTCGAGCTATCTAAGACAGTGAGCCTTATGCCCAATTTGAGAAAGCAGAGGCTTTATTCTCTCAGGGGTAGGGTCCTGGGGTAGTGGAGCAGCTTGTGCTGTGTCTGATCCCTATTTTGGATGTGAGTCTTTAGCAGAAGATCTTCTCAACACTGGAGGTTTAAAGGTGCGCTGGAAGGAACTCCTGGTGGTTTTGGACACTAAGGAGTTTCCTTACTTAAGCTGGTCTGCTGGACTTCCACCAAGTCCCCTGAGGGACAACGCTAAATGCACAGTACAGAAGAAGAATGGACACTGCCCAGCATGAGCATCCAAGTGCCTTGGCAGGTTGTCTTGGCTGTGGATGTGATTCAAGGCTTCTCCCGAGTGACAGAAGGAGCTGATGAGCTGGTGTTGGCTTAGGAGATTTGTGAGCACTCAGGGTAGAAAGGCCTCTGCCATGGGGCTCCAAAACTTTCCACAGAAGCAAGGACTTGGCTAGGCTGTGCCTCTGGGTTATTAGGTTGGCTCATCCCACTTAGCTTCCTACGTCACCAGTGTCTCCCTGAGTTGCTGATCACTGGCCTTTTCTGTTGCTCTGGGGATGGGCCATGATGCTGGTTCTCCTGGTTTTTCCTGTCTGTGACTGATGCTGGGCACGGGTTGCCCTGAGGTGTGAGTGCCACAATGTTCCTGGGTCTCACAAGCATCCAACTGTTTGCTTTGTGCCTACAGGCCCTTCACTGTGTCCCTGTTCTATACGGTGTTGGTTTGTAAGGGAGGCAGCCAGAGCCTGGAAGCCCTTCTCCAGCTTTCACTGCCTGGGAGATGCTGACTGAAGGGAATCATGCAGATCCTAAGAAACCTCAGTGGAGGCCCTGTGGAGCCCCTGCAAAGTCCCCGCAGCCCCACGCCCTGGACCAGAGCCATTGTGGGCTGCTCTCCCCGCTGGCTGCACGTTGGAATCAACCAGGCAATGTTCCTAACTAATGATGCTCTGGGGTCCCACCTCTGGTTTCTGATTTAGTTAGGGGGACCTGGGCTTGGAGGGTTTTTTGTAAAAGCTCCACAGTTGATTCCAAGGTGCAGGCAAGACTCAGAGTAGCTGAGTCTTAGAGCAGCTCCACTGATAAAAAAGAACTCAAAGCAGGCTCTGATAGTGCTTGGAGAAATCTGCTTTGCTTTTTTTTTTTTTTTTTTTTTTACTTGACATAACTTGTATGTTTTCATTGTGTATAATACAATGTTTTGATATACATATACATTGTAGAATGGTTAAGTCTAGCTAATTAACAAATGTATTACTTCACATAGTTATCACTTTGGTAAGAGCACATAATATCCATTTTCTGCATTTTTCAAGAAGAGAATATATCGTCATTAACTATAATCACCTTGCTATACAACAGATCTCTTGGAATGTATTTCTCCTAACTAGCTGTAATCATGTATCCTTTGACTGACATCTCCCCATATCCCAGTCTTCTCTAACCAATCTAGCTTCTACATCTATGAGTATAGGGTTTTTTAGATTCCACATGAATCTTGGTGAGTGGGGCGATATGGTATTTATCTTTCTGTGCCTGGCTTATTTCACTGACAGACTGTCCTCCAAGTTCATCCTGTTATCACAAATGGCAGGATTTTTTTATGGCTGAGTAGTATTCCATATGTATAAATACAACACGTTGTCTTTATCCATTTATCCTTTGATGGACATTTAGGTTGATACCATATTTTGGTTATTGTGCATAGTGGTGTGACAAATATGGGAGTGCAAATATCTCTTCAACATCCTGATTTCAAATCCTTTGAATATATACCCAGTAGTGGGGTTGCTGGATCATATTGTAGTTCTATTGTTAACTTTTTTATGAACCTTCACACTGTTTTCCATGATGGCTGTGCTAATTTGCATTCCCACCAACAATATATAATTTCCCTTTTCTCCACAGCTTTTATGGCACTTGTTATTTTTGCCTTTTTGATAATGGCCATTCTGTCTGGAGCAAGGTGATATCTCCTCGTGCTTTTCCTATTTGCATTTTCCTGATGATTAGTGATGTGGAGCATTTCTTCATACACCTGTTGGGCATTGGGGCGTTTGTGTGTCTTCTTTTGCGAAATGTCTATTCAAATCTTTTGCCAATTTTTCCTTGGGTTATTCATTTATTTATTTAATTTGCTATTGAGTTGTTTGACTTCCTTACATATTTTGGATATTAACCAACTGTCAGAAGTACAGTTTGCAAATATTTTCTCCCATTCCTTAGGTTGTCTTTTTTGCTCTGTTGGTTGTTTCCTTTATTGTGCAGAAGCTTTTTAGTTTGATGTAATTTCATTTGGCTCTTTTTGCTTTTGTTGCCCATGCTTTTAAAGTTGTATTTTTTAAAAAATTATTGCCCAGACCAATTTCATGGAGCTTTCCCCCATGACTTCTTCTAGTAGTTTAATAGTTTTGGGTCTTGCATTCAAGTTTTTAATCTATTTTCAGTTGAATATGATGAGATATAAGGGTCTAATTTTGTTTTTCTGCTTGTGGATATCCAGTTTTTCAAACACCATTTTATTGAAGAAACTGTCCTTTTTCCCTTGTGCTATCTTGGCACCTCTGTTGAAAATCAGTTGGCTGTGAATGTGTAGATTTATTTCTGGGCTCTCTATCCTGTTCCATTGGTTTATGTGTCTTTTTATGCCGGTACTATGCTGTTTTGGTTATTATTGCTTTGCAGTATACTTTGAGGCCAGGAAGCATGGTGCCTCTACTTTTGTTTTTTTTGTTCAAGATTTTTTCAGCCTTAAAAAATTTTTTTTCTTTATATTATGGGGTACATGTAGATCTTGCAGGATTGTTACATAGGTATACATGTGCCATGGTGGTTTGCTGCCTCCATCCTTCTATCACCTACATTAGGTATTTCTCCTAATGTTATCCCTCCCCAATCTCCCCATCTTCTGCTATCCCTCCCCTAGCTCCTCACCCCCCAACAGACCTCAGTATGTGATGTTCCCCTCCCTGTGTCCATGTGTTCTCATTGTCGATCACCCACTTATGAGTAAGAACATGTGGTGTTTTGTTTTCTATTCTTGTATCAGTTTGCTGAGAATTATGGTTTTTAGATTCATCCATGTCCCTGCAAAGGACATGGACTCATCCTTTTTTATGGATGCATAGTATTCCATAGTATTCCATGGTTGGTGTATATGTGCCATATTTTCTTTATCCAGTCTATCATTGATGGGTATTTGGGTTGGTTTCAAGTCTTTGCTATTGTAAATAGTGCCTCAGTGAACATATGTGTGCATGTGTCTTTATAATACAAAGATTTATAGTCATTTGGGTCTATACCCAGTAATGGGATTGCTGGGTTAAATGGAATTTCTATTTCTATATCCTTGAGGAATCACCACACTGTCTTCCACAATGGTTGAACTAATTTACACTCCACCAACAATGTAAAAGCGTTCCTATTTCTCCACATCCTCTCCAGCATCTGTTGTCTTCAGATTTTTTTAATGATCTCCATTCTAACCGTGAAGATGGTATCTCAACGTGAGATGGTATCTCAACGTGGTTTTGATTTGCATTTCTCTAATGACCAGTGATGATGAGCAGTTTTTCATATGTTTCTTGGCCACATAAATATCTTATTTTGAATAGTGTCTGTTCATATCTTTCATGTGTGTGTTTCCATACAAATCCCAGGATTACTTTTGTTATTTCTGTGAAGGATGCAATTGGTGTTCTGATGTGCCTTGCTTTTAAAAGTTTAACAGCAGATTCTCATTAAGTTTTAAAGATTTTTCATCTTTAAAACACTTGATTCTAAGGAGCGGAAATTTCCACTTGTTTCCAGCTGGAATTTCCACCTCCAAGCTGAAGTAAGTGGAAATTTCAGCTTGACCTCCACATCCAGGTCAAGATCAAGTATCAGCACCTAGCGAAGCACTGTCATGGGCTGAACTGCTTACCCCAAGTTCTTTATGTTGAAGTCATACCCCTACTGCCTCAGAATGTGACTATATTTGGAAATAGGGTCTATAAAGAAGTAATTAAGTTAAAATGAGGTCATTAGGGTGAGTATTAATCCAACATATCTGGTGTCTTTATGAGAAGGGGTAATTAGAACACAAACATGCACAGAGGGATGATCATGTGATGAGGAGAACACAGGGAGAACACAGACATCTGCGAGCCAAGGAGAGGTCTCAGAGGGAACTAACCTTGCAGATGCCTTGGGCTTAGGCTTCCAGCATCCAGACTGTGAGAAATAAACGTGTGCTGTTTTAGCCTTCCAGTTGTGGTACTTTGTTACGGCAGTTCTAGCAAACGAATACAGGCACCAACCAAATAACGCACTGTCATAGTCACATGGAATCAAGGCTCAGACGAAAGGACCTGACAGGCCTCTAGGAGGACTGGGAAGGGGGAGCAGGTAAGTCTTACCTGAATCTCTGCACCCCATACCACGTTGGCCAGTCCAATGCCTGGGATTTGGTTTGTAAACCACTATCTCTGGAGTTATGTTTGCTGCCTTCGCTGCCTCTGAGGGTTAAGCAAAACTTACCTAGGCAGGATGAGTAGGTGAAGGATGAGGGTCCACGTGGTCACCCAGTCTGGACTCTTGGGACCTTCTTGGTTGGCAGGTCCAGAAGTTTTCTTCAATATAGCTTTTCCTTTAGTCCACCTTGGTCACACCATAGCCTGTAAAAAAAACTAGGCTTTTGGCTGGGCATGGTGGCTCATGCCCGCAATCCCAGCAATTTGGGAGGATGAGGCAGGTGGATCATGAGGTCAGGAGCTCAAGACCAGCCTGACCAACATGGTGAAACCCCACTTCCGTTAAAAATACAAAAATTATCTGGGTGTGGTGGTGTGCACCTGTAATCCCAGCTACTCAGGAGTCTGAGACGAGAGAATTGCTTGAATCTGGGAGGTGGAGGTTGCAGTGAGCTGAGTTCATGCCACTGCACTCCAGCTGGGAAGACAGAGTGAGACTCAATCTCAAACAAAAACAAAAACAAAATTAGGCTTGTTGGACCAAGCAATCTAATTATTGGTGTTTTTCCACTTGTGGAAAAAATGTGCATAATGCATTTGTATGTCAGTCTGTTTATTTGTTTATCTATCTATCTATCACTAGTGGAAAGATCATACAAAAATATTAACAATGATTATCTCTGCGGTGTGAAATTATGGGTAATTTCTTGTCTTTTTGTTGTACTTTTCCATATTTCCCACTTTCCTCCAATGGGCATGCATTTATTTTTATAATCACAAAAAAGCAATAAAAAAGTCTATAACAAAAATATGATGTTTAAGAATCCCAAGTTCTTGACAAAAAAAAAAGGTATCTAGTACATGGCAAAGATAGGGAGAAATTACATCAAAATATTCTTCTTAGTTGTTGCTGGATTGTTAAGTCCTTTAGCCTCTAGATTAGTTCAGAATGAGAAAATTTAGAAACCTCAAGGGCTATGTTTTGAGCCAGTTTCACAGTGCAGTCATAAACCCGACCCCAGGGCACAGCATAATCTTTGTAGTGAGAGGGAAACAATGGCACATATGTCCCAGAGAAAGAGACAGCTCATAATTCTTTTCCCTGGCAGCCTATTAAAGCTTCTCAGACATTGGACTAAATTGTCCTTTCTTCAAGAAGAAGTGAACTTCCGTGTCCTTGAATAAAACCCAAAATAAGTTATGGAGATAAGCCAGCAGCTCTTCTCACAGAGCCAAACATCACTACTTGTCTGTCCTCCACACCCAGGTCTGTTTTCAGAACAAAGCAGATTTCTCACTCCAACTGGAATGCAAAGAAACCAAGGCTTTGCTGGCCAAAGGCCATTGCATCATTATTTGACAAATTCCTTCATCCATTTATGCCCCAATTGAACCAGATGCAGATTCTGTGCCCAGCACTGTGCTAAGTGCTTCACGTGTATACTTTATTCACTCCTCACAATGACCCTATGAGAGTCATCAGGTTACAGATAAAGAAGTGAGAACCAAGACCTCAACCCACTCTGGCAGTGGTTCCAGAGCTGCACAGCTCTACCACACTATACTGCCCTTGCTGTGGAGACACAGATACGAAAAGCTCTGGCTCTGCCCTGGGGGACATGAACTGGAGTGAAGAGAGTAAGATCTCCTCAAGTAAGGGTCAAGTAAACAAGTAAGGGTCATTAAAAGGCCAAGTGCAAAGAGCAAGGTATATACAGGGCATGGAGGAGGGAGTGACCCACTCACCCAGGGTGGGGCAGTGGTTTACGAAATGTTTCCCAGAGCAGGTGACCTTTGTACTGGGTCTAATGAGGCTGACAAGGGCAGCCATGTGTGAGGGGAATAGATGCTAGGGGTGAGGTTATTACAGGCCAAATGCGCAATGTCAGCAGCAGGTTCGAAAGCACAAACATTAACCTCCACTCTTCAGCATTGGACATGTGTCATCTACGCAGAAAATCAACAAAGAGACATTAGATTTAAACTCCACTATAGACCAAATGGACCTAACCATTTGCAGAACATTCTATCCAACACTGTAGAATATACATTCTTCTCATTGGCACGTGGAACATTCTCCAGGATAGACCATATGCTAGGCTTCAAAATAAGCCTCAACAAATTTCTAAAAATCATGTCAATTATATTCTTAGAGCACAATGGAAAAAAATTAGAAATCAATACAAAGGGGAACACTGGAAACTATACAAATATGCGGAAAGTAAACAATATGCTCCTGAGTGACCACTGGGTCAATAAGAAATTAAAATAGAAATTTGAAAAATTCCATGAAAGAAATGAAAATGGAAATGCAGCATGCCAAAACCCGTGAGATACAGTAAAAGCTATGCTACGAGGAAAATTTAGAGAAATAAATGCTTCCATCAAAAGGTAGAAACATTAAAATTAACAATCTAACAATCCACCTAGAGGAATTAGAAAAGCAAGAACCAACCAACCCAAAAGTAGTCGAAGAAAATAAATAATAAAGATCAGAGCAGAACTAAATGAAATAGATATTAAAAAACACTACAAAGCATTAATGAAACAAAAAGTTGTTTCTTTGAAAAGATAAACAAAATTGACAAACTGCTAGCTAGATTAACCAAGAAGAGAGACAACCCAGATAAACAAAATCAGAAATGAAAAATGACATATTACAGCAATTATCACAGAAATACAAAAGATTATCAGAGACTATTATGAACAACCATAGTCTTATAAATTGAAAAACCCGGAGGAAATGGATAAATCACTGGAAACATACAGGCTACTGAGTCAGGGAGAAAGAGAAAACCTGAACAGACCAATAAGTAGCCAGACTGATTTGTTAATAAAAGGTCTCCTAATAAAGGAAGATCCAGGAATGAATGGATTCACAGCTGGTTTTACCAAATGTGCAAAGAAGAACTAATGTCAACTGTCCTGAAACTATTCCAAAAAAATGGAAGAGAAGGGACTTCTCCAGAACTCATTCTATGAGGCCAGCATCACTCTGATACCAAAACCAAAGACACAAAAACAACAAAAAGAAAACTATAGGACAGTTTCCTTGATGAACAGAGACACAAAAATTCTTAACTAAATACTAGGAAACCAAGCCCAACAGCACATCAAAAATCTAACATACCATGATCAAGTGAGATTTACGCCAGGTGTGCAACACAAATAAATAAATGTGATACATCACATCAACAGAATGAAGGACAAAACCATATGATCATCTCAATAGATGCAGAAACAGTATTTGATAAAATTCAATATTTTTTAGGATAAAAAACTCTCAATAAACTAGGTATAGAAGGGACTTACTTAAAATAATAAAGACTGGCCAGGCGCGGTGGCTCATGCCTGTAATCCTAGCACTTTGGGAGGCTAAGGAGGGCGGATCATGAGGTCAGGAGTTCGAGACCAGCCTGACCAATATGGTGAAACCCTGTGTCTACTAAAAATACAAAAATTATCTGGATGTGGTGGTGTGCACCTGTAGTCCCAGCTACTTGGGAAGCTGAGGCAAAAGAATCCCTTGAACCTGGGAGGCAGAGGTTGCAGTGAGCAGAGATTGCGCCACTGCACTTCTGGGCAACAAAGCAAGACTCTGTCTCAATAATAATAATAATAATAATAATAATAATAATAATAATAAAGACCATATATGACAAGCCTGTATGAATGAAATCATGTCATTTGCAGCAACATGGATGGAACTGGAGGCCATTATCTTAAGTGAAATAAGTCAGGCACAAAAAAGACAAATATCACACATTCTCACTTATACGTGGGAGCTAAAAAATTTGATCATATGGAGGCAGAGAGTGGAAACATGTAGAACAGAGACTGGGAAGTGTGATTCAGGGGAAGTGGGGAGGATGAAGATAAGGCAGGCTAGGTAGTCAAGGAAGTAACTATGTCCTTGGGACTTCACAATCTGGGTGACCTCACCGTCAACACAATAAGCCCCAGCATTCACACTGCAGTAAAACTCATTCAAGCAAAATTGTCTCCAGTAAGAAAGTTCCCCTGTAGAGGGCAGGCACATTTTGATTTTATCTGTCCTCAGACTGACCCTTTGCTCATTATAATAATAAAAGACACCCTTGGTTGGAGATATAAGATGCTAATGAGACATGGAATACATGAACAAGCATGCACAGCCACTGTGCATGTGCACCCAGAGAACCAGCCAGAACATGCTTCCTAGCAACACCCTTTTCCACACACTCATGAATAATCAGGTAAGGCTTCCATAAAGGGAGTCTCCCTCAAGCGGGTCTTTACTGTCTCATCCTCATGGAAGCCCACCCTGAGTCCTCTCTCAGGGTGTTCTGCCTATTCTGCAACTAAGTTTCTTCCTCCTTTGCAATTGCTCTATGCTGCTGTGTGTCTCTTGTTTAAATTCTTTTAAACTAAGAAGACAAGAACTGAGGGTTCACAGCAACCATCAGCAAAGAGAAGTGGGTTAAAGCATATAAACATACAGTAAGATAGAAGGAACAAATTCCCTCAATTTTTGACAGCAGAGTAGGGTGACTATACTTGAGTATAAATGTACAAGTATAAAATGTATTGTTGGGTGATGGACATCCGGAGTACCCTGACTTGATCACAATACATTATACATAAGTAACAAGTTTTTTCAGGTTTACCCCATAGATGTGTACAAAAACAAAAAAGCACAAAAGCTGGAAGCAGCCTGGAGTCTGTCAGGAGGAGAATGGATGAATAAGGGAACTATCTGATTGTGACCTATTTATTGGATGAAATTATTACTCTGCAATAAAAAAGAACAGACTGCTCACACCTGTAATCCCAAGCACTTTGGGAGGCCAAGTGGGTGGATCATGAGATCAAGAGATCGAGACCTTCCTGGCCAACACGGTGAAACCCCATCTCTACTAAAATTACAAAAATTAGCAGGGCATGGTGGCACGTGCCTCTGGTCCCAGCTATGCGGGAGGCTGAAGCGGAAGAATTGCTTGAACCCAGAAGGTGGAGGTTGCAGTGAGCTGAGATTGCGTCACTGCACTCCAGCCTGGTGACAGAGCAAGACTCTGTCTCAAAAAAAGGGAACAGACTGATACTGATACAGCATGGATGAGTCTTCATGACACTGTGTCAAGTAAGAGAAGCCAGATTCAAAAGATGAAGTCCTTTCCTGAACACTTACTACATGCCATGCACTATACCAGTCCTTTCCTGAGCATTTACTACATGCCAAGCACTACACCAGGTCCTTTCCTGAGCACCTACTACATGCCAGGCACTATACCAGGTCCTTTCTTGAGCACTTACTACATGCCAGGCACTATACCAGGTACTTTCCTGAGCACTTACTACAAGCCAACCACAAACCAGGTACTTTCCAGGATTACTCCAGCTATAGGAAGTTCTGAAGGGGCAAAAACCCAGTGGCTGCCTCTAGGAGGTGAGGGTGAGAGTGGGGACAGACTGAAAAGGGACATGAGCGTGTTCTGGGGGTGATGGTAACACCATCTTGCTGGGAGTTTGGGTCACACAAATGTATGCATTTGTAAAAACTCATTAAATGTGCATGTGGTAGGCTGAACAATGGCTCTCCAAGAGGGCCACATGCTGATTCCTGGAAGATGTGAATATGTTGCTTCACATATCAAAAAGGACTCTGCAGATGCGATTAAACAGAGGATCTTGAGATGGGAGATTATCCTGCATTATCCATGTGGAACTGATGTAATCACAAAGTCTTTATAAGAAGAAGGCAGGGGATCAGAGTGAGTAGGAGATGTAACTACGAAAGCAAGAGGTTGGTGCTGTGGGGAAGGGGTCATGAGCCAAGGAATGCTTTGGAAGGTGAAAAAGCCAAGGAAACAGATTGTCCCTTCAGAGATACCAGAAGGAACCAGCCCTGATTACACCTTTACTCTGGCCCAGCCACACTGACTTTGGACTTCCAAGAGAATAAATTTATGTCATTTAAAGACACCATGCATGTGGTGACTTGTTACCATAGCAAGAATACTAATACGTGGCCCCTAATGTTTGTGCATGTCATTGTATGTTAATTTTACATACAGTGGGAAAAATTTCATTGTGTGTTAATTTTACATACAAAGAAAAAAAGAACTAGTAACACATCCGGAACTCTAGTTAATAATATGCATGCTGAAGCATTTAGGGGTAAGTGTGCAGATGTATACAACTTACTTTGAAATGCATAAAAATGGGATGGATAAATGAATTGAAACATGATAAAGCAAATATAGGACTGTATTGTAGTGTCTAGATAGACAGGTATTCGCTGGTAAATTTTTTAAAGTTTATTTTTGAAAATGTTCATAGTAAAATGTTGAGGGGAAAAAGGCAGAGGCTTGACCCTCTATGGTGTTTAGGAATTGTGAGTAGTTCTGCACAGCTGGGTGGTCTGTGTTGGGGTAAGAGTAGTTGGCTCTGTCAGTCAGAATGCCGGAGGAATAGGGAAGAAGATGTGGAGAGAATTTGGACTTTATCCTGTAGGCAACGGGAGCCAGTGAAATGCTTTAAGCAGGAAGGTACAGAAGAGGATTTGCCTTTTCAACTCTCACTGCACAAGTCACATCCCCGACTGAATTCTTTGAACAGCTGCTTACTTGATTTGAAATGCAGGTCATTCGAAGAGAAGTTAGAGGTTAATTTAGCATTAGTCAAAGGAATTCTTCTCTCTCTGTTTGCCTCATCATTGGTAGTGAGGAATCAACCTGGAGGTTCTCTCAGCAACAAGTACAGATCTGAAAGCTGACAATTTGTAGGAAAATGGCAGTTAATTCTAGTCTCATCTTTAAGGCTTAACTGTTCTTGGGGGTAAACTACATGAAGGAAAAAATATAAAACCTTTGTATAGAACAAGTAACTGAGGTGTTTATTCAGTGAAATGATGAAGAAAAGGCCCAGAATCAGTAGTCAGAGCATCTGGATTCAAATCTCAGTTATGACATTTTCTAACTGTGTGCACTTGGGCAAATTCTGAACTTCTCTGAGCCTTAGTTTCCTAGTTAAAAAATGGGGACAACACTAGTCAGGGCCTCACAGGGTTGCTGTGAGGATTCTAATAAAGGAGATAAAAGTATTCACCATGAAGTACCTTGTGTAGTGCTTAGCATGTAGTAAGTACTCAAGAAATGTTCAGCATTTTCATTATTGTTCACTGACCTACTTCTCAAAAAGCATGGAAGCAGAAGCTTAGCATACTCCTGGCTTGTACCATTCTTCCACTGTCATGAAAATGATGCTCAAATGCCTGCCTTTAGTCTAGAAAATTCTGAGCTTCAGACCCATAGTCCCATTTTCCTCATGGGCATTTTTATTTGCCTAGCCCACAGGTACCTCATACTCAACAAACTCCAAGCAGAACGTATTAAACCCCTGGTTTCTGTGCCTCCCTTATCATACCCCCACATGTTTCTGTGCCTCCATTTTCATGGGGAATGCTACCATCAACCCCCAAATGCTCTAGCCAGGCATCTGAGAGTCCTGCCAGATTCATGTTTCTTCCCCTCCCAATCACACCCAGTACCCCAGCAAGTTCTATTTCCTGAGAATTGCTTCCTCTATCTCCTACACTCCATTCCCTCCTGTATTGTTTTGGATTGTGCTCTTGTTATGCTTTACCTAAATTCCTACAGTAGACCCCTACTGGCCTTCCTGCTCCTAAACTTGCCTCCTCCAAATATAGTCTGCCTCTGCTAGAATGACCTTTCCACAGTGGGAATCTGACCATTTGCTACCCTGCCCCAGTTCTCCAGAGGCCACCCACTGGGATATGTTGGCTTGTGTTTATACCTCTAGGGTCTGATCTCTCATCAGTCCCAGCGATACCAGCCCACCTAAGCTCCTATCTCTGCACACACCTCTTCCCTGGAACACTGTGCCCCTTCCAACCTTTGCCTGGCTGCTGCTGACTCTCTGATGTCTCCCTTTCTCCCTTGATCATCTTCCTCTCCCTGCTGTGTCCCCATCTGGTGCTAACCTCCATCATAGCCTTGGTCTCCCAAGATATCCATGGACTGTAACCTTTGCCTCTTAGCTCTGCATGGCCAATGCTTAGCGCAGCAGCTGGCAATTGTAGATACTATATTGTAAATGGAGTTGATTCCAGGATCAAAGGGGAGTAAAGTTGAAGAAAAAGAAAAGTCAGAAAAGTCAGGGTCCTGCTAGAAAACCGCATGCTGAGAAGGAGTGACGAGTTTAAAGAAGGGACTATTTACCAAGATGAGGCAGGGGCAAGGACATCGCCAGGGGAGTTGAAGCGCCCTGAGGCTCGGCACAGTTGGAAGCCATTTTCGCTTTTAGCTAAGTGAGAAGAGGCAAGGAGAGGGCATGGCTAATAGGGGGAGATTTGCAGGACACAGCCACCCGCACAGATCGGTGGCTTTTGGCAGAACAGTGACAAGCCAGACTGTGATCCGGCACAGAGGAAGCCAGGGGAACAGACACTTTGATCTCATTCCTTTCTCTTGTTTTTGTCTTCAGGGCTGGCCACATACTGCTACTGGGAAGAAGGCTCAAACATGAATCCTCTCAGGCATAACCACTTTTCTTTCCACCCTTCTATTCTGAGAACCCAAGCTCAACCCATGTGCTCTCCCTTTAGGCAGAAAATGTAAGAGTCAGAAGAAAATGTCAGAATCATAAGCTGAAGAAAGAATTTGGAGTTCCAAAGGAATTCTGTGCCACCTGCCATCTGGCAATTCCCCTTCCCAAGTAGGCAATGGCATGACAGTAAAGCCGCACCCTGTTCTGAATAGGCAGAGAACCGGACTTAGCCTGAGGACTTAGGTTGAGGTGGGTAATATTCGAAAAGACCCATTTGCTAGGGCATCTCAGGCAAGGGACAGAGGCCTTTGCAGGCGAGGCTGCAGGGAGAGGCAAACACAGGAAACAGTCCTGATTCCAAGGGTTACAATTGGTTGAGGAGGCAAGGCAGCCACAAAGAAAGCGCGGCGTGTTCGGGCCAGGTGGGTGCTTCCTTAGAGAGGACAGCACTGCCTATTTAGAAACAGATGGGCCAATCCTTGTCCATCGAGATGGGGTCGGAGTGATTGCACAAAAGCGTAGCTACCCCGTTACCTCGGCTGCCATCACTTGCCCTCCTTCCATGCCCACCAGGGACGGCGGAGGAGCTTGTCCTTTCTGCAACCTGACCCTGGGGAGGAGGTGAGGCAGAGGGCTCCCAGACGCCGCCCTTGGAGGTCCTAGCGCAGCCGGGTGACGCCGGGGCAGGAGGGCCGCGGGAGTGGGGTTGGGGAGGGCCACTGGGTGGAGGCGCCCCTTGGGGCCGCGTCTCGTGGCGCCGGCTCCAGTTCCACTTCGGCTCCCGACCCTCAATTCCTGCCTGCGGCCCGGGGCCGAGGCCTTCCCCTCAGCCACCCTGCTGGCGGGCCCCGTCGTTCCCAGGTCAAGTTAAAGAACCAAAGTGTGTAATCCTCCCAGTCGGGGAGCCGCCATATCCTAGTATCCAATGGACAACCTGCTTGCCGCTCACTCTCTAACAGCCAATGATGAGGGAGACTTTGGCTAAGCCACGCCTCCCCACCCCATGAATGCGAACAGCGCCACCTCGTGTCCCTGTAGCACAGCTTCAGGGAGTTTGGAAGTACGCCTGGTTTGGGATTCACTCAGCAAATATTTAATGCGCGTGTGCTATGCGCAAATAAAATACCAGGTGCTGTCTTCCTCCACATGGCAGGGACAGACACGTGTTCCTCAAGCTCACTGGGTATAACATCGCCTAAGTTATTCTCATCTGTTACCGGGCCTCCAAATCCAGTGGTCTTTTTTTTTTTTTTTTTTTTTTTTTTTTTTTTTGAGATGGAGTCTTGCTCTGTCGCCCAGGCTGGAGTGTAATGGTGCGATCTTGGCTCACGATAGCCTCCCCCTCCCAGATTCAAGCCATTCTCCTGCCTCAGCCTCCTGAGTAGCTGGGACTACAGGCACGTGCCACCACACCTGGCTAATTTTTGTATTTTTAGTAGAGACGGGGTTTCACCATGTTAGCCAGGATGGTCTCGAACTCCTGACCTTGTGATCCGACTACCTCGGCCTCCCAAAGTGCTGGGATTATAGGCGTGAGCCACCGTGCCCGGCCCTGGTGATCCTTTATGAATTCAGCTGTGGCATGGAAGTTCATGCTCTCAAGGCCTTTCTATTATTGCATTTCTTTATTTCATTCAGTGCTTAAGTCTAGCCTCAGCTTCCTTTACTGAGTTTCCCACTCTTTCTGGCTTCAAGCTGTTGAAGTCAAAATACAAATGTAGAGACTGGGCTCTAAGTTAAATTGTTTATTTGGGAAGAAAGGATTGCCATTTGGGACACACATGCACACCAGAAGAACAAAGAGAAGGCTGGAGGTTTTACTGAATGTTACCTCATTGCTCTTTAAGGCTCTGCGGAGCTGGCAAGTTCCAGCTGGGGGGCAATGGCACTGGGCAAAATGAGTCCTAGAGCAGCAAGTTATCTCAGCAGCGGTAGATAAAGCTGGTCTCAGGTTACAGTAGTTGGTTTCAGCAGTCAGACATGTGGAGAATTGCATTCTTGGAGCATTGCTATGTGCCCTGAGTGCCTTCTGACTTTGTTTTTGTTGGGTATGACAAAAATGACCCAATTCATTTGATCAACTTTCACAAACATTTCTGGAACTAGTGGCATCCCCGATGTTGGGATGTTTATGTTTATTATCCCTGATGTTTATTTTGTTCTCCTTACAAGTGTTACTGGATGATGTCATGCAGTTCCAGCCTCTTGGTTCCCGAACAAGGAATTGGACAAGATACACACAGATAGTAAAGGAGCAAAAGTGTATGAAGCACAGTATTACAGTCTCCGAGATGGAAGAGTGGACTGACCTCTGTGAAATGAGATCAGCGTCAGTTTGGTGTACTTTGATTTCTTTTTGTATTTTTTCTCTTCTCTGCCCAAGACTGCCTAATCTCTAGCCAGCATCTGCCTTTTGATAGGCAGGTGGGTTGCTTAACTATTTAGTACTTCGGCCCTTGTGCGCTTGCGAGTCACCTTCATCCCATAATTTTAAGTACACGTATGATATGCAGTCCATATGCATGAACCTTAAATAGCTAATTACCATACAGGAACATTTTAAGGATACTTCTTCTGTCTAATGTGCATGCCCATCTCTGAGGAGCTTCCCCTGACAGGTTTGGTCAGGATCTAGCGGGCCATGAGGGCTCCTTACTCACTTTTTAAAAACCTAAGTTTTGTTTTGGCTGCTCAACCCTGCTTCTTACCTCACTTCTTGCTCACTTGCCCCTTCCTCTTGCTTCTGCTCTCATGCTTGCACTCATTCTGCCCTGTATCCGGTCTCTGGTTCCCTCCACCATCTCCTGCCTCAAAAGGGCTGCTCAAGTATACAATTTCTCTTTTTATGTTGTGGTTCTCGATATTGGGAAATGAGTGTCCATCTTGCTGAACTTCTTAACTAGAGAATACAGTTGGGATGTGTCTATACTATGTGACACTAATGGGACCCCGTCAATCTTACTTAGAGTCTAAAAGAGGGACTTTGTTACCTAAAGGAGGTGGTCACCTAGCTGTCTCTCTTAGATTTGGTTCATATAATTTCTGATTTTCAAGCCAGATTATAATCTATAAACTCCTACCCAGGTCACTGCACCACTTTGATGGAATTTTCATTTCCTTTATCCTTAAGATTTGTCTAAAGGTATTTGACTTTGACAGAAGTTTGAGTTCTTTAGTTTTCTTTTTATACAAAAAAATATACAAATGAATATTAAGCATATATAGTTGCATGACTAATTATAAACAAACTTAATGTATAACCAAATCAAGGAATAGCTCATTACCCCAGAAGCATCCCCAATCCCCTAATAATGGCCCCTCCTTCTCTCCCTCCCTGCAGAAACGAGCCATATAATGACTCTTGTGCAAATTACTTTTTTGCTTTTCTCTAGATTTGTTTCCTTTTATGTAGGCATTCCTAAAGGATATAAGTTGGTTTTGTCTGTTTCAAACTTTCTATAAAAGTTTTTGAACTTTCTATAAACAGAGTCTTACTGAAGGTAATTTTTTTCTCGTATATTTTTCTCAATTTTATGTAGTTGTAGGTTGTTGATTACTGTGTAATTTTCTCCTCTGGGAATTTGCAACAATGGATATATCCATTCTACTGATGATGAATATTGGTCTTGTTTCTAGTTTGGAGATATTATAAATAATATATTTATAATCCTTTTTGCACATATGGCCTTGGGAGTTTGTGTATCTGGGTATACACCTTGAAATGCAGTGGTGGAGTCACAAGTCATATATTTAAACTTTGCTAGTTCATGCCTGTTTTTCAAAGTGGTTGTACCAGTTTACATTTCTGCCAGCAGTGCACAAACATGGCTCCATATCCTTACCAGCACTTGGTAGTGCCAGACTTTAATTTTTGTGGAATATGGTGGATTTAGTTCATGTTATCTTATTGAGGTTTTAATTTGACTACCTGGTTATTGATGAAGTTGAACACATTTCTGGTATTTATTGGCCGTTTGGGCCAATACAGTGTCAGATCTTTGGCAATTTTTTCCTGCTGTGTTGTCTGCCTTAATGATTTACGAGAATTCTTCATATGAAATTTCTGTCATTTGAACATTTTTGACCCACAAAGAATGGCAGTTTCATGTGGTTCAACTTAATACCTTTCAGATATTGGTCCGTTGTTAATTACGTTTTAACTAATATTTTATCACATTATGTGGCTTATTTTCATTTTCTTCCTTCATTTTTTGAGAATCAAAGTTTTAACATTAGTGTATTTGGACTTATCAGTCCTTTTCTTTATGGCTTGTGCTTTTTATGTCTTGTTTAAGAAATCCTTGTCTTTGGGGCTAAAGGTGACACATTGTGCTGGGGGATTGGGGCTGCATTCTCAGGGCATTCTACTTTGGGTCCTGGGTCACATTGCTTCTGCTGGGGAGGGGACAGATTTCTCTGTGCCCCTAGACTTGGCTGGGTGGGGGAGGGAGGAGAGGCCACTCCTGGGCTCCTTGTGGGGTGGCACTCATGTTTCCAAGAAGATCCTTTCCTGCAGATTGTTTCCACACCATTCTTTTTAGTGGAGAGAGTCTTCCCAAGGAATTGGCAGCCCTGCACCTCACTGGGCCAGGGCTGGGGCAGGACTAGGCCAGCATCACTGTGGATGCTCAGGTAGGGTGGGCTGTGACAGAGGTTGACTCCAGCTCAGAACTGGAAAACCTGTTTCCTGAATTGTGTGTCCTAGAGCCGATGAGGTTGGACTAGGAGAAACTGTCCGGAGACAGTGGGGCAGTAGGAAAAACCCTGCCTGCCCTGTAATTCTGGGCCTGGGGGATGGCATGGCGTGATTCTGACCAGTTGGCTGAAGTAGAGCAGGTGGCCTGGGGCACACCAGATGGAGGAAGGGAAAAGGTCATGACTTCTTGGCCCTCAATCCTCAACGTCACTGTGGGTTGGGGGAGGCAGGGGACTGTCCAGCCTGTTCACAGTTCCCTTTCCATTGCTGACAGTGCCTGCCACATGAGAAGTGTTAGTACATATTTGTTCAATGAATGAATGAATGAATACTCTTCAAAGAAACGCATGTAAAAGTTCATGTTTTCTTTATTTTTTTCCCGGGGAAAACTTTTTGTGGCCCCTAGGTGGCAGAGTTAATCACATCTAGCTGGCGTGTAAGAGAATTCAGATATGGAACCAGGCATTTGCACTTAAAATTAATCTTGTTTTAATTCTGTTTTGAACTTTAATCATTAAGGTGAGAAAACATTGTCCTAAGAAACATTGGCAGAGTAAAACTGAAATAAAGACCTGGTAAATTACTTTCTCAGGCTAAAGATGGTATGATTTTTTTCTTCTAAGTGCTTCTAAATCAGTCCTTTAATGATTAGGTTGGATGTAAATTCTTACCATTCTTCACTCACATAAATGAATGTCCACCCAGTTTTTCTTTCTGCTTGAAAAGGGTCTTTTACTCTCAGAAGCTGGCAACCTCCTTTGTGTCTTGTGTCTGGAGGATCAGAGTCTGGGAAAGCAGCTCCCCTCTGCCCCACTCCTCAGGCTCTCCCTCAGTCTCCCTGCTTCTCTTCCCACAGCAATCCTGCCCCCTCACCAGCTGCCTTGGAAAATCCTGTGTCTCCGGTTTTCTCTTCTGCAGGAAATCAGATGTCATGCCACTGCAACCTTTCATCCAAAATAAAAATTCAAAAGCAATTTGTGTGTTTGAAAACACATCTAAAGCCATAGGCTTAAAGTTCCTATCTTGATGGGGACATGAATATTTACATCTGGAAATAACTTTGGGATGTTGATAGAGACAGGCAAATTCATCTCAAACTCATTATTATTTTGGAGTCTTATCATTATCCCTTACCACTATAGCAGAGCTGACCTTTTTTTCTGT